TACAAGTAATCAAGGGACCCAAAAAATAGTTCCCAAATCTATTATCAAATGCAAAGTGATTTGTCAATTAATGTAAAAGTTGATCATAGAGTCAAACTTATGTGATTCTTCTTATTGCTCTTCTTCTCTACTCTGAGTTGTCGTACGCACTGCAAAGGCCACCGTTTTGACAAATGGCAACCGCCCATGAGATGAGGGGCGAGGGCACAATTTGATTGGCTACTAAAGCTCCGACATAACATGATGGCCCAAGCAAAGGGTAATCTAACACACGGAGAGACGCAGATGAGAATAAGGGATGTAGCGCTACGAGAGAGTGGAACCCATCAAGTGTGCTCGGGAGCACATGCTCCTTTTTCAAAAAGGAAAAACACACTCATTCAAAAAATCCAACAAAAAAACACATGCTAATGATTCAAATTCGTTTCCAATTGAAGTTTCTTGAAAATCTCAACTCATTTGTGAGCTATCCAAAAATAACAAAAGATTTATTAAGCTCTGCACTTTTTGTTTTTTCCATGAGACAACAAAAGAATGAATTTTTCATCAAGGCAGCTTAGCGCATGAATCACTCTAATATCTACACCAATTTGTTTTGGGATTGATTTTGCATTTTTTTTAAACCTGATTATGAGTTTTCTAAAGAGGGCGTGCATTATCTAAAGGACAAAATCAATACTGTAGGAGAGATGGGTAGAAGAAGATTAGGAGTGGTCAACGCCTCAAATACTTGGATGTTTAGTTTATGTAGGAGTGTTTTTTGAAGCATGTACTATTTAATATATGGTCTTTGGCCTTTGTAAAGAAAAGTGAGAAAAGGAGGCTTGATGAGTGGACGACAAGTTATGAGTTGAGTAGTTTTCTAAGGCTTTGGGGTTGAACTATGGGCTGCATGCTGGATTAATGTGATCCATTGATGCACATTTTCTTTAGTTTGTGGAACTGAGGGGAAACCCTTTCTTTCATTAAACAAGTAATGAAAACGATAGGATTGTGTTTGTAAGGACATGTGATACTTAATATAAGACCTTAGAGCATCTTCAAAAAGTCCCATAAAATCTGCCTGCAAAATAGGATTTGTGGGGTGTTCATATAATTTAGGAGTGGTTTGCAGGTGGACATCTCCAACAAATCCCTTAAAAACTTTCCTTAAATATGGTTTTTTATGGTGGCGCGGTGGCGGTGGAAAACGGACAGCGGTGGTCAGCGGTGTGCGGGTGCGCAGGTGGGTCGGCAATGATGGTTGATGGCGGCGGCGTGCTGGTGTGGCACTTTTAGAGAAAGGTTTACGGAAAGAGCTATTTTCCCTGGATCCAGAGAAAGTTCTGCTGTTTATACGGGGCCTCAAAAAATCTGTGCTTACGAGACATGTTCGAACATTATTTTGCCCAACTCCTCCTAAATCAGATTATTATTGTTTTCATGGGAAAAGGGACTAGTTGACGATGCTCTTATAGGCCTTTTAAGAAAACACCCTCCGTCCGATTCTGCAGTCAGAATTAATCAACCTAGCTTGCATAGGAGTTTGAACTAAAATATCAATCTGTTATCCCTCCAAAAAATAAATATCAAACTGTTAGGTGCACGCGTTGCACCGGAGCTGTACAAATATTCTGACTTTCTCACTTGAGTATGACTTGGTAGCTAGGTAATTACTAATTACTGTGTCAATGAAAGAAAACCTACGCTGTTTACCGTGCTTATCTGCATACGCGCACGCGCATGTATGTTATCAAGAAACAGATTTTGTCAATCTTTTTCAGTGACAAATTAAGGAGATGAGCTAATATGGGTAATTAAGCAGCAACGACTTGACTTGGTAATGCACATATACCAGCTTCGTTAATGTACTGAGTCGTTGCTGTATATATGTAATTACGTAGAATGATTGGATAGAAAATAATTCGAATGGTGACAGGGCACCCGCGTAGGCGTCATTCGTCGTCACTCATACGCTCAACTATAACAACGGAGGAAAATGGGCGTATCTTTGATGAAATTTTTGTCTTGACTTTTGACTCGTCACGCGGACGCGGTAAAAGTAACAAAACAATCGTCGCATCATTACAGGAATCACAGTCAAAGCTGACACTACTGCAGAACTAGCTAGCACCGGGGGGGCGCAAATAGCTTGTCAGTAGCGGGCGTGGCTATCAAGGGTGCCTGACAGTGATCTCCCGCTGCTACTTATAGGTCATCAGTGACAGGACTCATGCCCGCCCCGGTAAAGGTCCATCGGTGGCGGGCTTTACATAGCACCTGCTATTGATGGCGTGCACTACCGATGGGGGACATTAATATCCATCCGTCAATGACAAGGGAACGTAATTGTGATGGTCCTATTTTTTCACCCATTACTGGTATGATTTTAGAAATAAAGAAAATGGATGCACCTCCCAGCGCACAGTAGCAGCACTCCACGGTGTAGCCCTGTTCCTGCTCGGGAAGCTGGCACGCACGCATGCACCCAACATGTAGGCTGGCACCCCTGCCGCGTGTGTTGGATCCACAGCCGTGCGTGCCCACTAGATCCGCCACCACTAGCCCGCTAGATCCGTTGACATGCGCCCGCTACATCTGTTGCCGTGCACGCTGAATCTGCCATCAAAGCATCATCGCCCGCATGGACCTGCGGACCGCCACCGCAACTCAAGGCACTGAGAGGGAGTTTGAGAGGGTTGAGGGGCCAGGAGAGAGAGAGAGAGAGAGAGAGAGAGAGGGAGGTAGGTAGATGGATGAGAGGAAGAGAAAAATGGACGGCCGGATTGCCCAAGTATAAGTGGCGGGCGTCCGCCACTGGTAAGATGCCACTTTGTCATTGTTATCACTTTACCATATTTATCATTTAGTGTGTAACACAACAAATTACCACTCTCTCTCTCTCTCTCTCTCTCTCTCTCTCACACACACACACACACACACACACACTCTTGCAACTCCACTTCTCAGCTCTTGCCATGACAAAACCACCTATAACAATCAATCAACTTACCACCCGGTAAAGTGAAGTAGTGAACATTAGAAGTGCATAGAAGGTTGTATAACTGACATACACATGTTGAGAGAATATGAAGCCTACCTTTAGCTTCTACTGGATACATCACTCAATACTTCCACATCCATCTTGAAAAGTGCTCCAACAATTCGCTAGACTCAGGGGTTATCACGTAGTAGCAGCATCAATGCTATAGTCGTTTTTAGTTGTCGGTATATAAGGCGAAAAATGGGTTCTTTAAATCAGTTTTGTCTTGCATATTGATTTTATCATTGATTTTTTAGTTTCTCTTAGTATCTATTCTATCAATTTCTTCTTAGTTAAGGCTCTAATCCTACTTATCAATCCTTCAATTGACATCAAAGCAATATATCATTGTCAAGACTTCCTTATAAGGTCTCCTTGCAATGATTTTACTAAATATGGATAGTATGGACGCTGGAGCGGGTTATCACTATAATGACACTTAAATTGATGGTTGAGATTATGTTGGTTGGAAGAAAAAGATGGTTGACAAGTTCCTTGGTATAGGTTTGAACATTAAACGCTTGAAGATGGATATGCTCCTCCCCTAGGTCCTCAGGATCCAACTCCAAGATAAGAACAAGACTTACACCTCAATGCATGCTCAAGCTAACAATGCTATACAAAGAGTTACAAGTGACAATGCATTAGAAATGATAACATCATTGATAGCGCTCATGAGGTTTGGAAGAGAATCAAAGAACTCTATGGAAACATCAATGATCATCCTTATTGTCCACAAACCTAAGTAAAAGTAATGAATATTGTTCTCTGTATATGAACATTTTTTAAAATAAGATGAATTTTTTTTCGTACAATGAAAAAATATCATTGAGGTACAAGATATTTTTTTTTGCATTTTGTTACGTTTTAGGTTACTTCAATATAATTCTGTTCTGAAATATATTTAAATCAAATAAACTAAGTTAAATTTGCTTCTTTACAAACAGAATCCCCATTTTCTCACATTAACAATTTTCAAAATAAAAATGTAACCGTTTTTTACTCGTGCAACAAACTTTTTCTGTTAACCACGACATTACCTCACTACTGCAGGAATGCCTAGCAGTGGCGGGCGGAAAAACCCTAGCAGTGAAGGGCGAGTCTCATAGGTGCACCCACCACTGCTATAATATGGCCCGCCACTGGTAGAGTCTCTGCAGTGGCGGACATGTCTTAGCGCCCGCCACTGGAGTATACTGTTTGTTGTGGGAAGTCTAGGGCACCCGTCACAACTACTTGTTCAGTCGCCAACACAAACCTGACAATTGACAGTAAGCAACAGCCAATACACATTACAGCATATACATTATGTAAGTGATCATACACATTACATTTAGCATAACAATAATAATCCAAATACAATACAAATAGAAGTATGCATTAGAGTACAACAACTTGCATGACATCATTAGTACACGTAGCCTACTTAGCAAAGCCTCCGGCATGCTACACACATACAAGACGTCATGATAACAACAGCACCATAATGACAATGAACTGGATAAAAATAATGATTTTTTTACTCGTTCACTTCTCCACACGGTCTAGCATACTTCATAGTTGATTTTATTTTTGCAGACCTAGTTGGCGTAACGATCCTCTGCTTCCTTTTTAGTCATATATCCTTTATAGCAGTTGTTCTTGTAACCGTTCACTTGTTCATTGCATTTCTCCCATGAATCATAAACTCATGGATTCCTCCCGGTGTACACCATATACCAGTTCCGCTTCATCTATGAAGATAAATAAACAAGCTAATAAGTCAATTTCATAGTTATCCAATCACGTAGAGCAAAGTCATATAACAATCTTCATAGCATCATGGACGATACAAATGACCACATTGCAGTTCACTAGTAGTTCAGAAGCAAACGTTTAGCTCCACCATAGCAACATAGAAATTAAGTTCACACGCATCGATCATATAGATCACATAAAGGCAGTGCACTAGTTGTTCAGAAGTAAAAGTTCAACTACATCATGAACTCTCCTTGCCTTCCACCATCTTCATGATCTCGACTTGGGCGGTCCTCGCAGCTTTGATGGCTACTCGCGCACTCTCGGCGGCTGCTCTAGTGCTCTCAGCATATGCTGCAGCGATCTCGACGTATGCCTGAGCGCTCTCAGTGGCTGCTCGAGCGCTCTCGACATAGGCGAGCACGATCTTCGTGTACTGAATCACCCTCTCGACGATGTCTACGGCAGTAAGGGTTCCGTCTACGAGTGTAGGAGTCCTAACGAGGCGTCTCAGCTTCTTGATCTAAATCGCATTAAACAAGTTGACATTTAGATAAAAGACATTTCTATGAAAGCAGATTTACGACAACACTCCATATTTGTCCTTCAGGTAAACATTTTTCACTCTTATGTTGGGTACTTCGACCGTTAGTGATGGTCGTTCTTCCTCCTCTCCTCCTGCTTTACCAAGGTCTCAGAGGAAGAAGAGGGAGAGGAACAACCCCCTACGGCAGCAGTCAGTTCATCTCTCAAGTGGTTGTATATATGGTGTACACTCCTGTATTTACGACTATGGGTGATGGTCGTCCTTCATCTTCCCCTCCTACTTTACCAAAGTCTAAGAGAAAGAGAAGAAGAAGGACGACCCCTTACGACAATAGTCGATGTCCTCCTCTTAGAACAACTCTCATCTCAGTTTGTGGATTCAAAGTGAATATTTTCCACCCGATGAAAAATACAATTAAGTAGCTCATCCATAAAAAGTAATAAATTTACGGAAAAATCGGCATGACCTTTGATAGAAATTGGACGTATTTAGTGCCAGAAATTAAGCGAATGGAACTTAATCCATGTTTCGCAAAAACATTAGCACTCATTACCAATACCTGCATCATGAATAAAACATTGTACAGTACTATATGTTGATCCATATGCAGTACATAGTCCTCTAGCACAAGCAATCAAATTTAAGACGTCTACTTACAAAGATTCAATGGTACATCATATAACAAATTTTAACTACACTAACAAAATGTTGCTAATGTATAAGTACAATAGTGACAACAACTAAAATTTTCATTAACAGAGAGAAGGGAAGCATGCTTACCGGGGCGAAGTTGGACGGCCAGCAGGACGAGGCCGAGGATGATGGCAAAGGGAGGCGGACGACGAGTTCGACGAGTTCGACGGAGACGCGGACGATGTTGGATGCGGAGGAAGGCGCGGCCGACAGTGAAGGGGAAGTAATTGGAGGTAGCGTTGCACGGCAAGGCTGACGAACTTCGAGGAGGCGATGAACGGCGCGTGCGATGGGGAAGATTGGTTCCGCGGCGCCGTTCGAGGTGGTGGACTG